CGGAATCAGTGTATTAGTGCGTTGTTTGATAGAGCCGTTTGCTAGAATCGCTTTGAAAAATTTTCTGAAATCAAAAACACAGGCTTAAATGTAATACTGTTGCCCGCCGGTGCTATTATTTCAATTATCAAAGAATTTTCAAAAGTAAATACAGCAGCTATTGTTAAATTGTCAATTGTTTTATAATGCATTTTTAATGGATGTTTCAATCCATGGAATGCAATTTGACATTAATTTCAAGAAGTTTTATTAAAGTAGACGAAAAAAATACAAAAAAAATTTGCTTTAGAAAAGATCAATTCATATTTTAATTGTGGCACAATTTTGATGGATCCATTGGATGGTTCATAAAAATGTTTGTTGTCTACAAAACTATTTAGAATAAACTTTGTCTTCATTTTCCAATATATGCCATGAGAATATTATTTCGTTCTACTTTGTCAACTTCATAACAGTTTTACTACAAATTTCTAGTCGTAAACATCTCGATCAAATAAATCAAATTAAACTATGCGTGGAAAAAAGGGAGCAACGATATTCAAAGTATCTCATAAATTGAGTTTTAAATCGTCCATTATCTGCGGCATATATAATTTTTATTCATCCGCACAAATAATTATACATTTGTCTATTCGTACATTTAACAAATGATTGCGCGATAAAAATGTTAACTCGGTCACTGAGTTTTATAAAAAAATATTGATTTCTTTTGGAATAAGATGAATTATAAATACAAAGACATTTTATAGTTAATATTGCGATGTTACATCCAATCGCACAATAATAAAATGAAGCTCATCTGATGAATTTTCTCTTCGATTTGATATCCAATTTCATTTTTTTTTTTTTTGGTTTCTGTGTCTTCAAAAAAAATGCTGCCTAGCATTATTTGTCCATTTCCAAAAAGATTTTCGAAAAGTATTCCAACATTTTTATATGCTCCCTCTCGATGCTCTACAAGACAAAAGTCTTTTATAGTATTGTCCTATCGATTAAGCACATTATCATTAATGTCGAAATTCGAATTTGTCATATCGAAAAGTGGCATTTTTAATCGAACCATATTTATTGATATTTCACATTTCTTTTTTCTCTTTTTTTTTGATATATCACCCAATTGCTTTTATTAGATACACGTGCACACCGAGCTGTCTCATTTATTATAAATAATAAGTGGCACACAGAGTACTACCGTAGTACTACTACGTGTTTTCTATAATTTTTGAAATGGATATATATATCACTTAGTGCATGTTAAAATCTTCTTTGAAATGCTCTCATGAAATCGATCAAATTAAATTCCAAGTAGCCAACTTTACAAAAATTCATTTGAATAAATAAAAATAAAATGAAAAATTCAATCGATAAAAGACATTTGTAATCCCAATGAAATTTCCCAAGCATAATTCAAAACAAAAATGAAACATTTCATGATAAATTCCTCGGGGTAGAAATGGGAGTTTAATGGAAGTTTATAATTTTTCATCAAATTAAATTATGATGGAAAATTCAGGCGCAACTTTATTTAAAATAAAATTTTATTTGGTGATGCTGCTTAATGTATTTCTTGGTAAATGTGTTCTTGGCATGCTTTGGCGCATAAAAATCAGAGTATCATTAGTTGCTGCTGCTCAGCATATGACTGAGAGCTGAGTAATGCTGAACTCGTACGGCTAACGCATACGAAACGGATGCAAGATACATATTCCCCTTTCGCTTCGTATGGGCTGCCGTTGACGCTATTGCCGCTGCTGTTTCACTTACGCGTAAAATAACACGGCATCAGCGGTAACACACTATACCAGCGAACATACGAAGTGAAAGCAAGAGATGAGATGCGACTTGCTGTTTTTGCTCTCAGTCTCTCATATATTCTTCTTCACTTCGTATGTTCGCTGGTATTGTGTGTTACCGTTGTATTTTACGCGTAAGTGAAACAGCAGCGGCAATAGCGTCAACGGCAGCACATTCGAAGCGAAAGGGGAATATGTATCGTGCATCCGTTTCGTATGCGTTAGCCGTAGGAGTTCAGCATTACTCAGCTCTCAGTCATATGCTGAGCAGCAGCAAATAATGATACTCTGATAGACACCTTATTACCTATTTCAGTTCACAATTTAATATAATTATCAGGGAAAAACTTGAATTCTTGATGGTATTCATACTTATCTACTAGTTTGCGCTTTTCTGAGCCACTCACTTTATCTTTCTATCCGTTCACTTCTTTCGATGTCTGTTTTTTTTTTGTTTTCATGTTTGAGTCTATGTAGAATGTATGATGTTTTATATAACGGCAGCGAGTAGCAATAAAAATGTGTTAGACATGTATAAAATTACTGACGCTGTCACGCGTAATAGATAGAGTGATGACAATAATGATGCAACACTTCACACATACACTTACGGTTATGCTTTTCTCTCTTTGCAATTTTTTTTGCTCTTTATTTTAACTTTACGGTTTTTATATAACATTTTTATGTTGATCGTTCTATTTTTTATCGTTTGCCCTTGTTCACACTTGCTTCTGTTAGTTTCTATATATTTTTTTGTTAATTTTGTTTTCTATGTTTCCGAAGTTGATATCATTGAACATAAACGAACTGATGGAATCTAATCAAAGCTCATTTTTCTTGATTTATTTTGTGTTGTTATATGCATAATATTTTGCACTCTCTCCATTTATTCGTATCGCTTTCACATTTCACCATTTTTATCAACTCACAGTCATTTCCTCTTCAATGTTCTGTTCATGAGTTGTTGAAATGTTGTTCGCTATTTATGGCTGAAATATTGAATGAATTGAGTGATGATTCTTGATTTTAAGTCACATTTTTTTTTTGCAACACATCCGAGTGAACATCTTACCAATGTTCGACAAAGTGTATATGTTTGCTTTTTGCAAAGTAGGTTTGAGTGAACGTGTACAAACTTTCCCCAACGTCTAAGATTTTCACTCGGGCACTTTGTTAAATACCAACTTTGAACTATATCTGTGTGTGTTTGTGCGGGTATTTGTACAACAGATTGAGTATGTGTGCACGTGGCGGATGTAGAACATTTATTTTCTAAGCTCATTTATATTGCGACATATTGTTTTCCGTCGTCCAAATCTTCAAGGCTATCAATCATTTTTCAAAACGACGGAGCAAACCACATCACTGCATTAATCTATTCTGATAAGGACATATTATTAACTATTAGGCATTCTTATTGTTGGCTGTAGCAATGTTGCACGATACTTCTTAAACCGAATGAATTATCTTTGTTTTGTAAAGCATCTTATTGATACATATGAATGTTTTATGAATTAAAGCTTTATCGTCCCATTTGCGTTGAATACATTGAGTGTGCCAAAAGTCATTATTGTTATGTAAATTTCAATTAAATATAAGTCAAAAGTAAACATTGAATGACAATGGACGCTTTAGTTCTTAGTAAACTTTGTATTCTCGGAACGTTTAATACTTGTTTTCTCATCATTTATCTCTTTGGAAATGGCGAAATTTCTTCAATGTTGTTTGGTATCTGTTGATTAATGTGTTGATTCTTCGCTACTTTTTTTTATCGGATGGGCTTATTCAATATATCATAGGTCCTATATAGAAATTTAAATATACATCAGCGCTAAATATTCATGATTTAAACTAACACACACACATATTCGAAAAATTGTCAGCATCACCGACAACCGAACTATCAACATCGATAGATAACAGTTTTGGTTTAACCTCAATACCATCTGAAATGCCATCGTCGCATTTGTCATTGAATGGCAATGCAATTGCTTCGATGCTATCATCATCAAAGGTTAATTCACAATTGATGCCACATTCATTGCATTCATCGAAATCAAATGATGCAATTCATTCGCACGATCTAGCAACAATTACATCGAATCGAGCCTTACAACACTTTAACATTGATGAATATTACGTTCCCAACGATGATCGTAATAATGTTATGGGTAAGCTACGAAAAAAATGATCCCCGCAACATGTCCAATATTAAATTCTATTTTCAAAACACTAATAAACCCCCAATCACCAACATACACACACACAAATACACATATAAAATCCGCTTGAACTTAACACACATTAACTGTACATCATATAGTGTGTGATCCCAGCATTTGAAAAACACATGCATTTGACAACATTATATGAAAGACTGACATGAACCCCCATTGAAATACGGATTACAATTAATAGTGAATGGTTATTGCTTGAATGTTTTGAATTTTAATCAGCCCTATTTTAGATAATGTTTACCAAAATGCTTGAACAATAATTATGTGGCTGTGTGTATTTCAACCCGAAAATGCCATGTATCTATTATGCAAGTACAAGCAATCCAATTCCTTGAATGAAAATTATTATGAATAGCCCTGGTCAACAATTTCAGAAAGTATCACTTGTGATAAGTGTGAATTTGAAGTGTTAATTTGTTATCGTTTGTTGTTGACGTTGTTGTTGTTGTTGTAAAATGTCGACTTTGAATTTACCATATTCACATGTTATTATACTAGATTGTGTGTGAAGCCCATTTATATAGTATGATGGAACATATCCTTATTTGCATATCGAAATGACGAAAAATATCTCTATATACATTGAAAAATAAATAAATGGATTATGTCCTGTGTAAACATTACATCCCAACTATTTTAACCCGAATTAGTGTGCATTAAAATAGTCAATTATAATAACGCAAATACGGCATGCAGCATAAACCAATGAGATGACATTTGCTTTTTTAAATTTTAATGTCAAACTCATTTCCAGCTTTCCAATTCGAATCATATTGTTTAGTATAAACTACTCGTAAATAAACCGCTTTGGATATCATACAATCCTTTAATTGTCGGCTCAATATTTAAATAGAGATCCATTCAAAACCCTCACAAATTCCATAGTATTATCACATTGAGTTATCACTCATTTTCGTTTCCGTTTTTTTCTTTTTTTTCTTTTTCTGGAATCGTTTTTGTTTTATTTCAGGTATGGCCACTAAATCAACAATGAACCGGCCGCAATTTAGTCAAAGCATTTCTCAACAAGGATTTTTCTCGACATCACGCGATAGCATATCACCGCAATGTCCAACACGTACGTCACACACACATGTATCGGCGACCGCATCCGAAATGGATTTGTCACGGAAAAATCGTCGAAAAGAACGTGGCCGTTTGAAAGCTGGCGAACAACCGTTGCTCGATTCATGGAATCGAACCGGTGCACGCGGTTCAACGGTAAATACATTGGGCACAAATGCATCAAGTAATCATTTGGGGACAACATGTGCACCACCCGGTGGCTGCAACGGAACTGATCGGTATGTTGCATATTGTACACACATGTTTGCCGATTTTTGCTATCACTATTATTTTGTGGTGGGAAAAATTAAATTACCATTTATACACATACACCAATATTTTGAACTGTATTTCCAGGTTCGGTCGACGATCAGGTTGTTCAACGACAGCATCAGCATCGGTGCGACAGCGACATTCAACCAAATTTGTATTTGATCCAGCTGGCCGTTTGTGCTATTATTGGTCAATGGTTGTATCGTTGGCCTTTTTATACAATTTCTGGGTGATAATCTATCGGTTTGCATTCCAAGAGATAAATACACAGACAATTATTGTGTGGTTTTGCTTAGACTATTTTTCGGATTTTCTATATTTAGTGGATATTTTATTTCATTTTCGTACCGGTTACTTAGAGGACGGTGTTTTACAAACAGACTCAACAAAATTACGACAACATTATATGAATTCAACGACATTTTATATTGATTGCTTGTGTCTGTTGCCATTAGACTTTTTATATCTATCGATCGGTTTTAATTCCATACTACGATCATTTCGTTTAGTGAAAATTTATCGGTTTTGGGCGTTTATGGATCGCACCGAACGACATACAAACTATCCAAATTTATTTCGATCCGTTGCCCTAATACATTATCTACTGGTTATATTTCATTGGAATGCATGCCTATATCATATAATCTATAAAAATAATGGATTCGGTTCGAAAAACTGGGTGGTATTCCATGACTCAGAATCGGCCGATGTGGTGAAACAGTATCTGCAAAGTTATTATTGGTGTACGTTAGCATTAACAACGATCGGTGATTTACCGCGACCACGATCCAAAGGCGAATACGTATTTGTCATTGCTCAGCTATTGTTCGGTTTAATGCTATTCGCAACGGTTTTGGGACACGTTGCAAATATTGTGACATCGGTTAGTGCTGCTCGAAAGGAATTTCAAGGTATGTAACGACACAAATTGACTATTATCTCTTCCTTTCTCCTGTATTTTTTATTCAATATATAAATGTACATTGTACATCTTGGTGAATTTCATCGAGTGCAGATTGCTTCTGTTCTGTCTTTGGGTTTTTTTCTTCTTCTTCTCGATTCGTTTCTTCTTCTATTTTTTTTCATTGCTTTTTCATTGGGTTTTGACTTTGTCAACATTGTTGTACGCGTGGATTACCAGTGCGGCGAACCGCATTAAAAGTAATAAAACACAAACTACGACTACATCGTGAAACCAAATAGACGGTTAAACTTTGCTTAAATGTCTAAGAATCAAGATTTAAGTAGTAGATGTGTTAAAACTACTTTGTTTACATTGGCATGCCATCAAAAGCACGAACACGACTATGTATACATAATTCAGACAACTGAGAAAATGAAAAAGTTTGCTCATCTTGAAGTGAAAATGTTTGCAAGTCGCTGCACGATTTAGAGCAGTGCAGCAATACACGTTGCATCATTGTCAATGTATTCATCTGCCATCGCTTCTGATGTGCTATGATGGTCGGTGTGCTTCTTCATTCTCTTCTCACATTCCTCTCTTTCAATCCAGTTATATCATTTTATTCAATCAATAGCATCCGAATGAGGGATGGAGGATGAAATGAAGACGTATTCGATCACATTTGTAGACAAATATCACTTGAATTCGCTTCAAATTGCTGTTGTAAAACATTGAATTATTTGCAAACATCAGATTGTAAAAGAAGTTGACAGCACAAAATATTGCTTGAGCGTATGGAAACTGTGATCATATAACAGTAACAGCAACAACAAAGTAAAAAAAAAAAATAAAGTGATAAAGCAAGAGAGAAAAAAAAATCGATGTTTTGATTGAAGTTTTGAGATTAAGTAAAAAAAGCGCGCGAATACACAACATTGAAAAGCGATTTATGTTCAACTGCATCAATTCTCCCTTCGCCATCAAATCGAATACAATATACAGTTGGATCAAAACAGATGTGTTCGGTAGACATGACATAGTTAGGAGCGCATCGCCAAATGCATCTCGTTCACACTAAAAAGTGTTACACTGTATGCGGTTTCAGAAATGATGAAGTACATAAACAATATCAAGAGAGTGTGAGAAGAAATTGGAGGAACCAAACCAAAACAACAGCAACACAAATTGGTACAAAACCAAATAATTATTTTCACCCAACGCGTTTGAATTTCTATTTATAGAAAGCTCCAAATAAAATTACAAGCGCCATTTAAAATGGGTTGAATTTTGTCTTGCATACAAACAAGAGCTGTCTTAATCAAAAAGAAGAATGGTGCACACAAATAAACGAGCACTTGTATGTGCAATATGCATATACATGGCAAACGAATGTAAGAGGAGTGCCTGCACAAAAGCACCATGAATATCACACAATACGTTTTATTGTTTGACCGGCGAAAAAAAGAAGAAGAATGGCAGAGAAAGAAACTGCATATTGTATACATGCACGGATAGTAATATCGATAAATTTTGTGGAGTTTTCAAAAATGAAGAAGAAAAATCGCAAGAAAAAAACGACGACAGCGGCAACGCGGATGAAAAGAAGAAAAAGAGAGTGAAACCCGTAACTTAATATTCGTTTTCTTACATATATTTTTTGTTGTCGGTGCTTTTTGTCGTTGTGTATTTGCCGCATTTTCGGTCCCCCATCTTCGTCTTCATATTCATCTTCAATTTCAACTCTAACTGAATGGTGAAAACGACAAGTTGAAAGCGTGTGCGGCATCTTACCATTCAGCTAAACATATCACTGTCAATGCTCACATACAATGAGTGGGAGAATGACAAAAAACACAAAGAGATAGAAAGAGAATACATTGCTGAAGGACAAAATAAAGTCAGCAACAATATTTTAACTATATATTCTATACTAGATGAAGTGAATTTGATTCGTTTTTATTTTCTTTGATTGCCATTGTTACTGGCTATGTGCTGTTTGCTGTTATAATATTATTATTCGGTTTAGTTTTGTTCAAATGCATTATGCTACTACTCTACTAGTCATCATCATCACCATCACCATCATTACCCAACAAAGTTATTATTAAACAAAGATTGAGAATGATTATCGAATTTTGTGCGAAAAAAAAAAACACCAAATATGGATCATTATTATTACGTCTCTTTTCCTCTTAATGTCGTTTTATGCGGTAGTTTTTTATTCAATAAAATCGTATATGTTCGTATTAATTGAGCCAAATGCAAAACATCATTGGCAACGAACGAATGAATGAATGAAATAAACGGTTCGTTGATAAAACTCTCTCGATATATGCACTTATCGCAAGCTTTCGCGTTCTACTTTTCAAAAAGAACATTGTCTCCGCGAATCCAGTGCTGGAGCTGAGCATACAACGCGTTAGCGTTTTATGGAATTTATGTTCTATTTATAGATGTTCTCTGTTCAGTTTGTTAATTTTCTTTTTTTTTTATCTTGTCTTCCTGCACCAAGAAAAAAAAGAAGAAAATTTCTACGCAAATCCATTTGTATATACAAGTTTAAAACTATCATGACTTAACGTTCGTCTTCAGAATAAAATTTCTAAATATAAGCTCTAAATTTATATATTATTTCCATTTGTCACTCTAATTTTGTGATCATCCAAAAAGTTGACAGTGATGTTGCAATTTGGTTTCAAGCACAGTTAATTTATGATTTGCCATTTTTCTACTTAATTTTTTTTTTTTTTCAATTCTTCATCTTTGTATAATCTTGAAACGCATGAAATGTGTACGCTGATGAAAAATCATAATTTATTTTTTTTATTCATTTCATTTTCGTTGTTCGTTGTGCGTTTAGGATTCAAACCATGTACAATCGTGCTTCATTATGCCCTCAAAACATGTTCTTCAGTGGTACAGGAAATTAAATTAAAAATTTAACACGTACTCTCCGTGTCAAGTTTGTGTGTTAGTTTCAACTTGTTTTCCCATTGCTACAAGATGTGCGCTTACTGCATTTCATTTCTGAGGCGCTGTTCATTCGTTTAATCGTAAATAGTGATGAAATTTGGCTTGACACTTTAATTGAATCGAGTAAATTCGCTAAAGATTTTCGAAAATGTGCTTTAGCCGAGAATCTCACGAATAAGTCATGTGCTATTTGCTCCAACGTGTTTGGCAGCCGTTGTGGTACTGATACAGACCTCTCAAGATTATGTGGAATGCCGCATCACTCACTACATATACACGCTCGTGCTCGCTCGTTCATGGTTCAAATGAAAGATGAGTTGCACTCACATAAAAGAGACGCACCATCACCTCCACTGACTCCGAAGCTTTCAATGATGTGTTCTTCCTGTTCTGGTTCGCTTCATTATTCGCCCATTTTTCTTCTTCTTCTTCTTTTTAAATGTATGTGTTCATAAGTGTTTTATGTTTTTTTTTGTGTGTTTCCGTTTGTTCGCTGTGATTTTATTCTTTATTTTTCATTATTATTTCCTGTACTGACGTTGTCATTGTTGTTGTTGTGGCTTGTTTTCCTGTTGTCATTGTGTTTTCAGCCCGGCAGAGAATCTAGGCTTCTATCATTATGGGCTGCCGCTGCAATATCATTCTTTTTTCCAACGTAATGAGCTAATGATGATTCGTATATCGCTTTAATGTTACTGCCAAATTCTCATGCTAAATTAACCACTACGGTTTGTAGCTATTGTATTTTCAACATTCGGCTTTTCACTTTTGCTGCTTACACTTGAATATCACAGAAAACTGTATGCCTCTGCATATTCTTTCGCTTTTTTATCTTCTTTTTTTCTTTAATTTTCACACTTGAACCAAACAACAAAAACAATCAAACATTGCCACGCACTTTCTGACTACACGAAAAGGGAGCAAACAAGCAAAATGAATGAGGAGAGAACAAACAAAACGAAAGAAACAAAAAAATAGAAGGAAAAACAAACGAAAACCGAATAGAAAACGTAACATTCAATTTGATGTATTGTTGTGTGCTCCTTTGGCGAAGTGTTAAATATGCTCGATATTATAAAGAGAAAAGAAAGTGGCAGCTTCAATGGATCTACTGAAGCAACAAGAATCCAACGAACGAAAGACTGTACGAACAAATAAATATGTGTGCACGTGTGCAACAATAAGATGCGCAAAAAGATAGAGAGAGAATGAGAAAAAGAATGAAAAAAATCTCTAATGATGTTTACATTGTTATATTTTTTCCGTGTATTGTAATTTTTGCTTCATCCCCTTAGCTACTTCGCACTCGATGTTTGCCTTCGAGCATCACATTTTACACTTTTTGCCTTATGGCTGCAACAACGATGTGAAAATAAATAAAGAAAAACTCCATCCAATGACTGGTTTCTTTTTTTTTTGTCTTTACACCAGAAACGATATGTGTGCACGAGATAAAGATAAACATGTTTTTTGAACAAAAAATTCACACCAGACGACGCCGTTGTCGTCGTCATTCGTACTCACTTCACCTCACGTGTCGTGGTCTCACATCCATTAGTTTTGTGTACAATCTTTTGCATTATTTTGGATTTTTGTGCTTAACGCCGAATTTTCGCTTGTTCATGTTTTTCATGTCGATTCCTTAGCGAATTTTATATATCTTGTAAACATAAATAAAATAACGAAAAAACTTCTATCGAGGTGAAGAGCGAGTGACGAAACCAAAATGCAAGCAACTCACTTTCTGATATCAATTTTTCAAAGAAACTTTTCGAAAGCTCATTTCAATAACTTTACCACGGTATGCCAATTTGTGTCAAGTGAATTTTTACTGTTTTTTAAAGCTCATATTTTGGAGACACGTGGACACATTTTCAAATTTCATGTTTTTTTCTTAATCAATGAACGACTATAAGCGGAATATTCAATTTATGAATGATGCGACAAATCAAAGTATTTTAAAACGGGCCAAGTTTGAAATTTGATGATATCGCCAACCCATGTTCTTAATCGATAGCTTTCCAACCATACATC